TTTTAGGGAATTTTTAAAAATATTTTCATAAAGAAAGACGAACGCATTCTCTCGCTTTTGCACTTTTATGTATTTTTTTAAGTATTTTAAATTAGGGGTGGGTTTTGGGGGTCCGAGCGAGCATTCTTACCTTTTGGAAATTGCTTGGTATATTTTTAGAGAATTTTTGGAATTGTTGTTAGAAAAATATCCGAACGCATAGTAGTGATATTGTGCAATTTATTATTATGCATATATGGGTTATTTGATTAAGGGTGGTTTTTCACCCTTAATATTAATATTTTTGGAATTTTTTGATTGATATTTGTTTTATTTACTATTCTAAACAGGATTATTGAGAAAAATTTGTTAAATGAAGAAAAAAAAATTTCGTTCAAATGAACGTTCAAAACTTTAGGGTCCTAAAAGATGAGCAAAGACGAGAAGACGAGCAAAGACGAGAAGATGAGCAAAGACGAGAAGATGAGCAAAGACGAAAAGATGAGCAAAGATGAAAAGATGAATTAAGACGAGAATATAATCTAAGACGAGAAAATGAGGAAATACAAGAAAATGAACTAAGACGAGAAAATGAACGAAGAAGGCAAAATGAGCAAAGACGTCAAAATCAACAAAAAAATCAAATTCAATCATATTCTAATGATATTGATTATCAACAATCACCTACGAGTTACGACAGAAGAGATCAAATTAATTCAAGAAATCAATCTCACTCTTCGATAATAACCTTCAAAGACATAGAGGGCACGTTAGACTTCTTCAGCGGTGATGATGGTCGAAATATTCAACATTGGATAAGCGAATTTGAAGATACAGCACAAATATGTGAATGGAACGAAACATACAAAGCAATCTACGCAAAACGTTTACTGAAAGGTTCCGCCAAATTATTTATAAATTTTGAAGATTGCAAATATTCCTGGGAAGCAATGAAGAAGGCACTCAAAGAAGAATTTAGCACGAAAATCGACAGCCATGCAGTACATCTGAAAATGCGTCAACGTAAGAAAAGGCATGATGAAACCTATCACGAATATTGTTACAAAATGATGGAAATTGGAGCTCAGGTCAACATGGAACCTAGTGCGGTAATAGAATATATTATAGAAGGAATTGAAGGAGACGAGGTAAACAAATTGATTTTATACGGATCAAATAATATTCGCGAATTAAAATTGAGACTAGACACATATGAAAAAATGAAACTAAAATCTAAATTAATTAATAAAACAGACTATACTCTAAAGAAAACTTTTACAAAACAAACAGACACTGACAAAATTAACAAATGTTTTAATTGTGGGTCAGAAGGCCATATGAGCAAAGATTGTCCACTTAAAGATAAAGGACCAAAATGTTTTCAATGTAATAATTATGGACATAAAGCAAACCAATGTTCACACGATATTGGAATTTCCAAAGAAATTCGAACATGTAATGTACTTCAAACTAATTCTCAAAAATCGTACAAAACAATCTCGATAAATGGGGAAGAATTCAAAGCTCTAATCGACACAGGGAGCGAATTAAGTGTTATTGGGGAAGAAATTATCAAAAATCTAGAAATACAATTTAACAAAGAAAAAATAACAAAATTTTCAGGCATAGGATCAGGTGATTCATTTATGTCTACTTTGGGTATGGCTTCAGTAAATTTGAAAATTGATAACGAACCCTTTAAAGTAATTTTACATGTTATTTCGAATCACGTGATGAAAGATATTATAGTATTAGGCACGGACTTTTTGAACACAATTGAATTACATTATAAAGACGGAAAAATAAAAATTTCTAAAATTAAAAATACTTCTGACAAAAATTATATAAATCAAATCGATTATATCAACGAAACGAATAAAATTGATCTTTCTTACATAAAAAATGATAAAATTCAAAACGAAATTAATAATTTGTTAGATGATAAAATAATAAGATCCACTACGTCAGACTACGCAAGTCCTATTGTAATCGCGACAAAGAAAAATGTGTCTAAAAGAATTTACATCGACTATAGTCAATTAAATAAAAAAGTTTAGAAAGTTCTTGATTTTCGAACACCTGAGGGCAGGTGAATTTATCAGAATGGCCGAGTGTAGTATTAATCACTTAACAATTACTAATTAAATATGTAACCGGAATTGGCACGCAGAACAAAAGAGGATCTGTTAAACAAAATATGAATTATAATTAAACAAAAACTTAGTTGTCATTCAGACATCTGTCACGATAGACGCAAATGTATGAAAACACTATTTAAAATAAATACTAATCAAGAGTTAATTGATCTTTGATTTCATAATAACTATTAATTATACTACAATAATTGTGTTTTGAAGAAGAATTTAATTCTTTCTAAAGATAATTGAAATTTTAACAAGAATTTTATTAAAACTTTTGAAAACAACTGAATTTTTGGGAAGAATTTTATTATTTAAAAAGATAATTGAAATTTTGACGAGAACTTTAAAAAAAATTAATTATGCAGAATTGTTAGTTGAAAAGTATGAAAAATTCAGATTTTACAAGATTTTAATTTGAAACCTTTTTAAAATTCAATTTTTTCGAAAAATTCATGCTGCAATGCTTTTAATATTCAATTATTATCTAAAATTTAAAAAAAAATTAATTTTTAAATCAGTTTTGATTAGAAAATTCTACGAGAATTCAATTATTTAAATACAAAAATAAATAATTTATTGAATAATTGATTACTTCTTAAAAATAAATTCTCATAAAGAATTTTATCAACAAGTTTTTAAATAATTGAATTCTTTTGATGAATGTTAATAAAATTTTTATGAATAATTACATTTTTCGAGGAATTCAAATAAAATTAAAAAGAATCAAAACTCTGCCATAAATTTTATTATTTATGAATATAATTGAATTATGGCTAAGAAATTTATATAAAATTTGTAAATAATTGAATTTCTGGGAAATTTTTATTATTTTTTGAAAATAATTAAAGGTTTGTGTAGAATTTTATTAAATTTTATTTTAAATAATTGAATTTTTTTGGAAAATTTGATAAGAATAGTAGATACCTATAAAAAATGATTGAGTTGAGAAAAATTTTTTGAAATAATTGAAATTTTGCCAACAATTTTATTAAAATTTTTTGAAAATAATTGAATTTCGGAGAAGTTGATTATTTTTAAAGATAATTGAAATTTTGACGAAAATTTTTTTTTAATTTTGAACATAATTGAATTTTTGTGAAGAATTTGATCACTTTTAAAAATAATTGAATTCCTACAATCATTTGTAATTTCTCCAAAGTTATCCAAATTATATCGTACAATTTACGCACTTTACGGAACTTTTTTAACCCCTTCACAGTGTTTGACGTCTATAGAGGCAAAAATAATTCGTGCCCCCAGGTGTATGACCGCTATAGCGGCATCGAAAAAAAAGATATATAAAAGTTAACGAATCTTGCTAAAAATGCCTACTCGGGGGTTTTCGGGGTCGCTGAATCCAAATCCGTTATTGAAAAATTTAAATTCAAAATGGCGGCTTCAAAATGTCGACCAAAAATTTTTTTAAGTTTACGAATTTGTCTGAAAATGTTCATTCGGGGGTTTTTGAGGTCTCTAAATCCAAATATTTAGTCAAAAATTTAAAATTCAAAATGGCGGCTCCAAAATGGCGACCAAAAAAAATTTAAAAGTTTACGGATTTGACTAAAAATGTTTACTTGAGGGTTTTTGGGGTCGCTGAATTCGAATATTTGGTTAAAATTTTTAAATTCAAAATGGCGGCTTCAAAATGGCGACCAAAATTTTTTTTAAGTTTACGAATTTGTCTGAAAATGTTCATTCGGGGGTTTTTGAGGTCTCTAAATCCAAATATTTAGAGAAAAATTCAAAATTCAAAATGGCGGCTCCAAAATTGCGACCAAAAAAATGTAAAGTTCTCAAATTAGTTCTTAAAACTTAAAGCAGAGGAATTAATATGTCCGATGTTTTAAAACATTGTGAAATACTCAAAATCAATCTATATTAAAAAATTTATTAATAGTATTTAAATTAAATAGTTCGTGACTCCGGATTCGACTAAGAGCGGTGCTTTAAATAGTTTGTGTAAATATATACATATATAAATATAAAAATATAATATATATATATATATATATATATATATATATATATATATATATATATATATATATATATATATATATATATATATACGTATATAAAAATATAAACCCCAAAATACTCAAATAACTATTTATAACCACATTCGTAAACTTTTAAATTTTTAGTTGATATCTTGAAGTCGCCATTTCGAATTATAAAATTTTAACCAAATATTCTAATTCAGTGACTCCAAAAACCCCCAAGTGAGTATTTTTAGTCAAATACGGAAACTTTTAAATTTTTTAAGCCGCCATTTTGGAGCCGCCATTTTGAATTTCTAAATTTTTATCAAATATTCGGATTCAGCGACCCCGAAAACATAAAATATAATAATATCAAGTAATTAAAAAAAAATTTTTTTTTTCACACTTGTGGCACGAAAAGCTTATTTTGACTACACTGCTAAGGGGTTAAAAAGAACGGACTTTTATGGACTTGAAGCAAAGTTACGGACTTTTACGGGATTTACGGACCTAGTTTGAGCACTGCGTTTAAATTACTTTTGATAAAAATCAATGTGCAATTTCAAATTTGCGTTCAGATACTTTTAGTGGAAAAAAAATTTTGTTAGTGGAAAATATATGACGATCTAGGGGGAAAGCGCTACAGTGACCTGGAAACACTGAGAAATGGTAGATGGTGAAAAAGTTAACGTTTGCTAATGCTACTAACGTTTGGTTAACGTTGATCTAACGTTAGTGACCAAAAAGTGTCGTTAGATCAACGTTAACCAACGTTAACTTCTTATTAATTACTCTCTTGTTGTATATTACTAACTTACTTATACACTGTAAATAAAAGTAAATAAGAAAAGAAGAAAGTAGGGTGATATTTTTAATTGATATCGAAACTGCTTACTTGACGATTTGCCTTGACTCTTTTAAAAGTTTCCCATCTGCCCAGCGGCGTGCCGTCGGACGCAGAAGGAGCGTGCAAGAGGGAAGAATGGGGATGATCCGTAGCACCCGGTGGTAGAGCTGATCTCGACTGTTTAGGGCGAGGCGTAACTGAGGTCAACTTGAAAAGTTTATCTAATTCGTGAACAAAATGTTGCTCCAATTCTTGTGCCCTCACAGTCACACCGCAAACTGGACAACACGATGGATCCAACTTTTTTTTCCCTGAAACAAAAAAATAACTTTTCTTAATTATGCACACTCTTTAACCAATTTCACATTATTGTCAAGAGTAAAACTGGTTTTACATGAAAAGCTCGTTGTTGTCAAATTCATACAAAAAACCTAGGTTCATTTTTGTTGCAGCTCAAAATAAGTAAATGTTAAACGCCATATAATGTGGTGCCACCTATAAGGTTATAATTTTTGTTGCGTTTAAAATTGAGTAACATAGGCTTCTCATTTTGAATCCAGATTTTTTCAGTGTTCGTAATCTTATTAAATCTAAAATAGAAATTGAAAGTTTACTCAAAACCGAAAAATAAATATAGAGAAGATTGGTCATAAAAAGTGTTATGATGAGAAGACAAATGTTTAGATGAAACAATTTTACATTTGAGACTGACTACTAAAAAGTTTACAGTCATGATCGAAAATACATCCAAGAAATTTTTAAATTGACACATATAATACTTTATTTGAAATATCGACAACAATTGGTGAAAATTGTATGGTTTTTCTAATTAGAAAAAAATGGTTTTTTTATAGATACGTATATAATTTTGAAAAAAGACGCTATAAAGTATTGAAAAGTTTTGAAAGTATAGAAAGCCAAGAGAGTATAGTAAAGGATATGTTCAGCTGTAGGATTTCACACAAAAGTTTATTTGTTTGCAGACGCGAGAGTTGAGAGGAGGTACATAACATGAAAGAATAAGAAAGAGCAAACTTTAGAATGAAAGAGAGACATTCTCGTGTCTTTATAACACCAACACAATGCATTGCTTGGACGTCTTTCATCTTTGATATTTGGAACGGTCAACCAAAACCAAACAGAAACTTGTAACCGGAAATATATTCTTTTATTCCACTATTTTTATAAACCGATATCCTCAGGGCTCGTTGCTCACGATTTATGTCTGAATCGAGAAAATATTTTTTTCTTCAAATGTTCATAAGACTTATATTACAGACATATCAAACATTCATTTTTCACGATCTTCTTTAAAGTTTCCTACCGTTACTTATTTCAAAATTATAATTAAAACGCAGGTATTTATAATATCTTTTAATTTTTTTGAATGTGAAAAAATTGAAAATAAGGACAGAGATATTTTATATTAAGAAATATATAAGTACAATTAATTTTATAAAGCGAAAAGCATCGGTAAAATTTGCAAATCAGTTTTAAAACGAAACCTTATCACTTATAGTTATTTATTATTATATCAGACTTCGAACTTTATAATTAATTTTAAAATAGTAGCAAAAAGTATCTTTCAAACTAAAAAAAAGTAGTTATCAAAAAATTAAACTTGACGACCAAAAAACTCGTTTTAGACACTTCACAAAACTGACAAAAATTCCATTCTATATATTTTATTTTCCCGACTTTTTCCTAATTTTCATCAAAAATATCTACTTCTTTCTTATTCTGCTAATAAATTCAATTGCTGCAACGAATTTTATTATTCATCAAAGAATTTAATTATTTATAAAAATAATTGAATTCTTGCCAAGAATTTTATAAAAAATTTTAAATAATTGATTTCTTTTGACTAATTTTAAGCAAATTCTAATTTAAATAATTGAATTCCTGAGAAATTTTTGAAAGAATTGAATATCAGTGTGATATTTTATTAAATTTTTTTTGAAAATAATTGAATTCCAAAGAAGCATTTTATTATTTATGAAAATAATTGAATTCTTGCGAACGAATTTATAAGAATTTTTTTAAATAATTAAGTTTTCAAGAAGAAATTTATTATTTTTGAAAATAATTGAATTCTTCATGAGAATTTTATAAACATTGTTTTAGATAATTAACTTTTTCTAAACATAATAATTATTATGAAAATTTTATTTTAAATAATTGAATTTTTGTGAAAAACTTGATTTTTGAAAGTAATTGAATGTTCCGATTAATTAATTTAAAATAGTATTAAAAATAATTGAAATTTTTCGATGAGTTTTATTATTTATAAAGATAATTGAATTTCTAAAAAGCATTTTTTTATTTATGAAAATAATTGAATAGTTACTAAGAATTTGATTAAATTTTTTAAAAATAATTGAATTACTGAGAAGAATTTTATTATTTTATGAAATTAAATGAATTGTTGCGAAAAATTTTATTAAAATGTTTAAAAAGAATTGAATTTCTGTGAAATAAATTTTTATTTTTAAAAATAATTGTAATGTTATTATTAGTGAAAGTAATTGAATTATTGTGAAGAATTGTATAAAAATTTGGTAAAATAATTGATTTTTCGAAATTCGTTTGAAAATGCTAATCTAAATTAATTGAATTCCTGTGGAAAAATTATTATTTATGAAAATAATTGAATTTTGGATGAATTTTATAAATTTTTTTTTTAAATTGAATTTTGGATGAATTTTATAAATTTTTTTTTTTTAAATTGAATTTTGGATGAATTTTATAATTTTTTTTTTTTTAATTTAATTTTGCGAAATTTTATGAAAATACTAGATATTGAAAATAATTGAATTTGGAATATTTTTTCAAAATAATTGAATCGTTTTAAAGAATTTGATTATAATTTTTGAGAATGGTTTGTAGCTTTTAATGACTGAAATCTCAAAATAGTATACCCAAATAGTAGCCTAATGTAAAAAAATAAAAATAATAGGTACTTTAGTAGATAGTAAATTTTAGTAGGTTATAGTAGGTAGATGAGTGCGAAGACTGTACATTATTCTTCTCTCTTGTCTTACGCTCACTTTGTAAATACTAAATATACTTAATAACTTTATAATTAAAATTATTCTTTTCCTTTTTGATTTTGTATAATAAATACATTATCTTTCTATGAGTGGAATTTTGAAGCTTATTTGTAAATATTTAAAATTTTTATAGTTTCAAAAATGACTTAACTGATTTAGATTATAAACGATTTTACCAAATAAGAAACCCTACAACTTTATTTAAAAGCTTTCAAGACTAATTAAATAGCAATGCTTAAATACAGAAATTACATTTCTAATAAAAATAAAATTAGTTCTTAATTTATCGCATTTTAAATTATCTCGAAAGTATCTAAATATATTTAAGTTATAACAACGTTTTGATATGTTAAAAAAGAATAATGATGTGTGTTATATGATTTCTAAAATTAAATTATTCCTTAATAACCGAAAAGATAGCGCATGAAACCATTTCTTGAAGAACGTGTAGAAAACAGATAGTTATCAGGTAGTGAAATCCTTCTTTACTTTTAAGTATGTTAAATTCGTAAAACGACATGGAATATTTTTAATAATAGAAAAGTTGTATTTATAGAAAGGCTTATATGGTGGGTGAGCATTGCATTATAAATAAATCAGAGAAAGTTCAAATTTGTCTTTTTAATCAGTTTATTGACTCATCTACTTGGATATTTTTGAAAATCTCATTATACTGTAATAGAACAGAAATTTATGAATCCATCTCATTAGTAGCAGATCATAATATATTCGTTTAAAAATAGTACATTATGCAGCAGTGTCATAGGTACGATTTTATAGTTGATGGGTGCTTTTTGAGCCACAGCTACTTTACGCTTATTTCATACAGCCTAGCAGGTTAATAAACTGACCATTATTACCCTAGAGAAATAATAAGAACTTTATTGACCTCTTCGCAGGTGAATAAAGTCCCCATTATTACCCTACACAAAAAGAAGGATTCACAGAAAAAAATGAGTTAAGTCAAAGTAAAAACTAATATTACATAAAATTTTGATTTTTTTATAATCCAAAAATGAAAATAGAATACAATCCTAATTAAAAAAAGTAAATATTTGCAATGACTAAGTAGTTAACAGTGCTTTAATTGACGCTCGAAAATAATAAAAGTAAATAAAATAAGTATTAGAATTGTTCGAAAATGTATTGCTTGGAATGTTGTTGGTTGGATTTCTACTAAGGCGAAATTGGACTATCGTATTAACCACCTACTTTTGTTCGCTTCGTTTGTTTGGAGAAAATGCCGAACGGCATTCTTCAGCTGTTTAACATATTCTCGTCTCAAGAATAAGTGGTATCCCCACATATAAGCTTGCGACGAATCTTGGATGTTGTTTCGTTTCTTTGTCCTCCGAGACAGCATCCTCTATTGCTTCCCTTTTCAATTAAGTACGCCAGCAAATTTATGTACGCACAACTGTATTCTGTATTATTTGCTTTTCAATATTCAATTCCTTTCTCCAAGAAAAGAAATGGGATCGATTCTCAGTTTTTACACTCTCAGGCATTTTAAACTCATCTCATTCATTTTTTTTTTCTCTCTGATAATCAAAAACACTCCATATCATTTCTTTTTATATTCAAACAAAATTATTACATGGTTGCCACAAAAATTTAATTTTCTTTTTTCCTGATTTCCAGAAAAAATTTTCACTTTTTCCCTGGCCCTGAAGAAAATTCTGATTCACTCCAAAATTATTATTAGATATAAGAAAATGTTCTATTACACTTATTTCCAAATTTCTTTCATTGTAAAAATATTCAAAAACATGAATAACTTTTTTTTAAATAAATATTTAATCATTATTATTTTTCTATAGGAATTAAAAGATTTTCAAATTCAAACCTTCTGAAATTCAATAACTTATGACAACAATATTATAAAACGTGAAGAAATCGATCACTTCGAGTCAAAGACTCGGAGTGATCGATTCCTTCATGTTTTATAATAAATGTAAGATGACAGAGTGATAAAATCATTATTTTATATTTGAACCCTTTTCAAAATTCAATTATTTCTAAAAATTCACACTATAAATATTAATATTCAATTATAATTTAAAATTTTATGTGAAATTTATTTTTTAATCAATTTTTATTAGAAAATAAAAATAAAATTTACTTTTCGAGAATTCAATTATTTAAATACAAAAATTAGTAATTTATTAAATAATTGAATATTTCTAAAAATTGAATTTTTATGAAGAATTTTATCAAAAATTTTTAAAATAATTGAATTTTTTCGGCGAATTTCAAAAAAA